CAGACTGCAAGTGCGTGGCGGGTTACACAGCGGGCTCTGACGGGATAGCGTGCACGGCGTGTGCGACAGGGAAGTTCAAGAGCGCGAGCGGGTCTGCAGCATGCCAGGGTTGCGCTTCAGGTGAGTACAAGGACACGACTGGGCCAGGGAGCTGCACGGTGTGTCTAGAGGGTACATACAAGGCTGCTACGGGTGTAAACTGCGAGACGTGTCCTACAGGGATGATCTCTGCGTCGGGGAGCAACGAGGTCACAGAGTGTAGGATGGCATGCACCGCGGGATTTTTCAGTACTACTGGAACGAATTCTCAATGCAACCAGTGTCCTACAGGGTCGACATCTGAAGCAAATAGTACTAACTGTACATGTGTCGCAGGGCAAATTACGAATTTGGTATCTGATCCACCGACACCATACCAAGAGCTTTGCACCCCGTGTGAGGCAGAGACGCTCTCGGGCAATGCGGGTGCAGAGAGCTACGAGTCTTGTTCTGCAAACTCGACTTCAACTGCGGGGAGTGCGCAATGCAATTGTGTGGCTGGGTATGAACCGTTCTCGCATGGTGCTTCGTGCATTGCATGTAACGCGGGAACGTTCAAAAACATGCAAGGGGCAACCCCTTGTGAGAACTGCTCAGCGGGGATGTACAGTGGTGTGGGAGTAGACAATTGCACTGTATGCGTGGCGGGGACGTACACGTCCACAGAGGGGTCTGTGGAATGCACTGCGTGTGAGGCAGGGACACACACGGTCACAGGGGGGTCTGAGACATGTGTGGAGTGTGAGGCAGGCAAGTACAGTGGTATGGGAGCGTACGTGTGCACCACATGCCATGATAACTCCCAGTCCTCATCTCGAAGCGCGCTGTGCCAGCGCTCGGCTGGGTACACCGGGCCCGACAGCGGGCCGTGCAGCGCGTGTGAGACAGGGACGTTCAAGAGCGTGTCGGGGAGTGCATCCTGCGAGATATGTCCTGCGAAATCGGAATCCCCCACCGGAAGCGGAGTATGCCAGTGCTCGGAAGGGTTCACGGGCGTGGCTGGGTCGTGTGTGGCGTGCTTGGTGGGGACGTTCAAGAGCGTGTCGGGGAGTGCATCCTGTGAGACCTGTCATGTCAACTCGGGTAGCGATCCAGGCAGCGTATTATGTCAGTGCTTGGCAGGGTACATGGCGTTGTCAGATGGCGAGGCTTGCACGGCGTGTGATGCAGGGATGTTCAAGTCTACCAGTGGGTCTGGGGCGTGCACGGCTTGCCCGCTGAATACAAACTCTTCAGCGGCGAGTACCGAGAAGACAGACTGCAAGTGCAAGGTGGGGTACAATGCGATGTCGGACGGGGAAGATTGCACTGCGTGCTTGGCAGGGACGTACAAGACTGCAACTGGAACGGGGGAGTGTCAGACGTGTCCTGCGGGGAATTGGACAAACACGAAAACGGGAAGTTCTTCAATAGAAGACTGCACATGCCTCGCAGGGTACAACGGGACGAAGAGAGGAGCTTTGTGTACGGCGTGTGTTGCGGGGGAATACAAGGCAGTTGCAGGAACTGGGGAGTGTGTGGTATGCGTGACTGGGACGTACAATGACGTAACAGGGGCTGGGGTGTGCTCGGCGTGTCCTACAGGGATGAGCTCGCCTTCGGGTAGTGACGAGTTGGTTGACTGCGAATGCCTGGTCGGGTACTATAAAGAGACGTCAGACGGAGCGTCACCATGCAAGCAGTGCGAGGCAGGCACCTACAAGAACTATACAGGGACAGGGACGTGTGTGGCGTGTCCTGCAGCCTTTACGAGCTCCGAGCCTGGAAATGACGAATTGGCAGACTGTAAGTGTGCTGCCGGGTACACCACAGCCCCAGACAGGGCAACGTGTGTGGCGTGTGAGCCAGGGACGTACAAGGCAGAGATAGGCCAGGAATCATGTACTTACTGTGATACGGTAACAAGTCAGACGGGAACACACAGCCCCGAACCAGGGGCTCACAAGTGCGTGAATTGTCCAGATGCACACCCAGATTCCTCAGGTATTACGATGGAGACCGTGGAACAGCCCCGCCGGCAGGCTCGTGAGCGCCCGCGTGACCGGTCACGCGGACGCCGAAGCCAACTGTCCGAGGTGACTGCCTTGCGTGTACCTCCAAAGACTGCGAGGGTTGGTGGACAGAAGCAAGGAACGAACCTAGCTCTGCCTCCTGGCCTATCTCTGCCTTGTACGTCCCTGGCCAGATGCACACCAAGATTCCTCAGGTATTACGATTTTGTAATCTGGCTTGCAGTAGCACGTAATAATCTGGCTTGCTACTGCAAGCCAGATTACATAATCGACACCCAGGACGGAGGCTAGTAATAATACCATACCTGAGTAATAGTAATGGTATTATTACTATTAGTATTATTACTATTAGTAATACCTGAGGAATCTTGGCTTGCTACTGCAAGCCAGATTACATAATCGACACCCAGGACGGAGGCTGTATCTTCAGCTATCAATCCGCATCTACAGTGAAGCTCAATGTGTACATTGATGGCGAGGACAAAGTTACTTTCAGTGGGAACACAGCTGGTACAGGCAAACAAGGCGCGCTTATTGGCAGTGTGTCAAGGGGGGTCTCCATCGCGCGCAAATATATAACCATTACCGGCATCGAAAATGTTCAAGGCACAGAGAGGCGGAGGTTGCTCGCTATTGCGGGTATCAACGTAGCTGTAGCGATCAGAGCATCTCCTAAAAACACTGAGTCTATGATCGCGCTTGTAACAAGCGAAAGCTTTGATCTTGACTACCCAGACGCTAAGGTCACACTGTTAACCGTGGTTCCAGACGTTGACTCACCCATAGTGGTTTACCCACCACACCTCAAGACCCAGACCACGACCACACCAAGCCCTGTAATCATAAAGACCCCCGTACCCACCACAAGCAGCTCTCTTCCGATAGAGACAATCATCATCATTACCATCTTTGGCGTATTCGGCATAGGGGGTCTCTGTGTGTGCACCATCTACAGACGATCGAGAAAGCACAGACTACACCACAATGGAACTTTTCAGTACCGATTGAATCAAGATGTATCGGAAGCGAATTCACACTACAAACGCCTCAGTACATCCACTACCACCGCATATGAAATGATTTCACTGGACGTCAGCTGTTTTCTAGTCAAACCATAGATTTAGGTTTTATATGTTTTATAGTTAAACCACTTATTTGGGGTTTTAGGACCGTACTGTGATTTTGTGAGGTTTAATGAACAGATGAAGCAATTCTTGTATTTAACCACCGGTTTATCACCGGGTTATATGGACCCTGAGTTGCACACAGTTATAAAGAACAAGGCACGCAGAGACTTGAAAGCATGTTCGTTTGCCCCTAAGACCCTCCATGCCAACATGGACAAGATGCATGCACTAATGCTATCACATGAAAAGCATTGCAGAATGATAATGTGTGTTACAATTTTGCACTCTGGCACCGTCACGTTCAGTAACATCTTAGGGGAAAATATTACGGTCGAGCAAATGCGAGAGAGGACCTCTGGAACACAGCCCAAAAGCCTTTGTCTGAGTTCTCGGTTCCCGGCTATTATGCAGCTAATCCTTACGACATCGCGCTTGTACCGTCTACCGCCTGTCAGGTTCTATCTATACATCTGCGATACCTATTGTTTCCAGTTTCGAGATTTACCACTGTTTGTGATGGCCAAACCCTCAAACCGGGAGGGCATCCTGATACCAGACGACAGTTTCTTAGTAAAGCAGACTTGGGAAGAATCAGTGGCTCTCATAAATCAAATCAGTTGCGAAACTAAAATCCCGATCATATATTTCAAAGGCGCGCGGACAGGGAGGGCCGATAAAGTATCTAGAAAACACGGGACAGTTGTCCACGACCGGAAATGGGCAACGCGTTGCATCTTTGAGACACATGCTCTCACAAGCAAAGTGATGGAGGTAAATCTCTCAGGGCCACAGGAAGCCATGCATACGTGGTCCAAATACAAGTATCTTCTCAACATGCCAGGAGGGCAGCCATGGTCATACCGGTTCAAGTATTTGCTGGCTATGAAGTCTTTAGTTATAGACATCGTGGTACACCAGCAGTACGGCAGTGACCCGAACAACTACAACTTGCGGTGGGACAGTTTCTTTGACTCATTTTTCAGACACAATAGAGATTACATCCAGATTCCATTTCGCTGGATTGAAGGCGACCAGGCGCACAACCAAAGCGAACACCAGCGGGTCATCCAGAGAGTGGAGAAGATTTTCGCGTACTACGAAAAAAATGAACAGGCCTACACTGCCATGGTACAGAGCTGCACTAGGCGCTTGAAACACGTCTCCCAACTCGCTGTCTACCACGGGATAAGTGTGTTAATCAAGGAGTACACGGAAGCCATTCGAGCTGCTGCACGTATCACACACACAGACTTAGACACTGAACTTGGACTCGTTGGGGTCAAGGCTGCACGTATCGCACACACAGACCCAGACGCAGAACTTGGTTTCGTTAGGGCCAAGCGCAAAGCAGACGATGGTGCATTTGAAAAAAGTGCCAAAAGGAAATGCTAGAGGTGCAGGATTCAGGGTTTAGGACTTAGGCCCGGCAAAAAGGAAATGATAGAGATGCCCCCGGAGGGATTCGAACCCACGACCAACCGTTCAAAAGATGGACGCTCTACCACTAAGCCACGAGGGCACCAATCGGTGGTTGTGGTTATAATGCACACACACTAGAGTTGCTCTCGGTGTACTTTGAGGGGTTGCTCACACGGGAGCGGCCCCTTGAACCACAGCGGGCGGAGCCCAATGCTCTATTTGGGAAGTAAGGCCGATCCGATCCTGGCTTGGGGACAGCAAGGGCTGACACCGACAATCCTGTCTAATAAACACGAAATCAACGAAATCAACGGCAGGTGTCGGAGTGCTGAAGGAAAGCCTAAGCCCCCAATAGCCTGACTTCCACACCTAGGCAGAGACTAGGCAGAGACTAGACAGAGACCTTCCGCAGCCTGCAGGGGTACCTCGCTCATAAGAAAACACCCCCAGGACCCTACAGTAGGGCTATACCTAGGGCCCTATGGTGGTCCTAGAGGGGGCGCGCTTTCTTATGAGCGA